CCAATGCATAGATGATGCACATAAGACTATGGGTAGTACAGGCACAGCTTCGGGTACTGCCCAAATAATGATGAACGCATTGCGTATGCTTAAAGAATTACCCACAATTCCGGTTTTTACCGTTTAGGTCTGGCTCTAATCACTTTACGCGATCCCTGACGTCTCATACACTGACTTTAGGCAAAATGATAGTCAGACTTTCGCGGTCTAGTAACCAGACTTTGACTCTTAACGAAACATCGAATGAAAAGGGAAACATCAAATGCATATTGCGAAAGATCGAATGCAAACATACCGATGAAACATCGAATACAAATAGCTCGAAGTGTCAAACATATGTGTAAAACTTCGCTCACATATTTGAGAATATCGCAAATATATTGTAAAACAACACACACAATTGTATCGAAAAACATCGCATATTTAATGCAAAAAATCGAACATAATATTGAAAACATCGCACATATATATCGTCAAAAACATCGCACATATAAATTGAACATCGCATATAAATGTAAAACATCGCACACAACATCGCACATATATTGTAAAACATCGCACAAATATATTAAACATCGCGCAAATAATGAAAAACATCGCACACTTATATTGAACATCGCACATAAATGTAAAAGATAACAAACACATATTGAACATCCAACATATATATTGCAAAATATTGAATATTGCAACGTTTGACACGCCATACCTGACATGTTCACGTAGATTATAGAGCTGTCCGCTCACTGGCCATAGACCTACGCCTGTACACAGATATAGATAATATGGTGGCCCTGAAGGGACATCGCATATCGCAAACGTGTGCGCATACGTACGCGATGTCGCGAAATTTATCGCGAATGTGTGCGCACACGTATGCGATGTCGCAAAATTTATCGCGAATATGTGCGCACACGTATGCGATGTCGCGAAATTTATCGCGAATATATGCGCACACGTATGCGATGTCGTGAAATTAATCGCGAATATGTGCGCACACGTATGCGATGTCGCAAAATTTATCGCGAATATATGCGCACACGTATGCGATGTCGTGAAATTAATCGCGAATATGTGCGCACACGTATGCGATGTCGTGAAACAATTCGCGAATATGTGCGCACACGTATGCGAATTTGTTTGCAATGTCGTGAATTTTATTGCATACCTTGTCGCATACCTTTCAGTAAAATTCCTAATGAACTGGGGAGTTGTAGCAGCTAGTCTGGAATCTAGATGTACTGTTAGATATTGTTGATGTACCCTAACGTGGCGCGGCCCCTAACGTGGCGCACTTTGATTTTTCGCCTGTAGCGCCTAGCTAGAGCAAAAGTTTTAACTGAAATTTCACAGAAAGTGAAACTTCATCAAGTTATAAACACTCCCGTTCATAAATCGCGAATTTATTTACCCGCTACAAAGTTAAAAGAAAAACTTATTTTGGCGTGATTTTCCGATTTTATTTTCAAGTGCAAAGTGAACCCTTTGAAAATGCCCCGAAAAATAAGAAAATAATTTTGTGACAAACATCTGGCTGGGTATGTAAGTAGAGATAATAATGATTTATCAGAATTTATCAAGTTTTCAGAAATTCTTAAATGTTAATTTGGAATTTTCCGAGATTTATTTAAGTGCGCCACGTTAGGGAACACTCCGCCAAATTGTGCCCAATTTCCGGACGCCACCGTTTTTTAATTTCGGCTTAAATTTTATGAAACCGAAATTGTTCACAGAGGTTAAACAGCAAGCATTAATAAGGTAAAAGTACCAGTATTTCACTGCATGAATTTGAGGTTTGTCAACAAAGAGGTTTGGCAACACTACACGAGGAAATTTGGGTATGCTTCGAAGTGCGCCACGTTAGGGTACACCACCATATACATAGGGTCTGACTAATAAACCTTCGCGCGCACGCTTTTCCGAGTGCAATCGTTACTACTAGTACTGTCGAGCGCAAACTTGCTACTTGCGCAACTTTGAAATTTGCGCGCGCAAGTTTTAAACTTGCGCGCGGAACAGCGTGCGCGCGAAGGTTTATTAGTCAGACCCTATTTATATCTAACAGTACGTCTAGATTCCAGACTAGCTGCTACATCTCCCCAGTTCATTAGGAATTTTACTGAAAGGTATGCGACAAGGTATGCAATAAAATTCACGACATTGCAAACAAATTCGCATACGTGTGCGCACATATTCGCGAATTGTTTCACGACATCGCATACGTGTGCGCACATATTCGCGATTAATTTCACGACATCGCATACGTGTGCGCATATATTCGCGATAAATTTCGCGACATCGCATACGTGTGCGCACACATTCGCGATAAATTTCGCGACATCGCATACGTATGCGCACACGTTCGCGATATGCGATGTCCCTTCAGGGCCACCATAAGATAATCATGTACGCCTTAACTTTACATTGTATATAGTGCGCCCTCTATTGACCTGAGATGTAAATAATCCCGAATAAAGTACTAGTGTGTGTGTAAGATATTTGTACCCGACTCTTTATTTGATAATGTCTCTCACCCGAGAGAGCTAGACGTTATACACTATCAATAAATTGTTTGACAATTTCTACGTATATTCAAAAGAAACGTGTGATATATCAAAACTAATCACTAGACAAATTTCTATCCACAACACTAAGTAGTTCTTGGGTTATCGTCTGGAAAACGAGTATGTTGGTTTTATTCCCTTAAAGTTGACTTTAACTAACTAAGATTTCATTTTTCTGGCTGACGACACACTCTATTGTGGTGGTTGAATTAACTTTATTGTTCGACATTTGCTTCTGGAAATTAACAGGCATATTTAAGACATCACGAGCAATTAAAAGATACAATTTCAATTTAATAGACAATATTTTTTATTGAGTAATTGTCCGCCAAATTTTATTAATTTTTTTTAAGGTTTTTTGGGGGGTTACATAAAAGTTGACTTACGTTCGTATTGTAATTTTCGCGCTGAATACACTACATTGTTTTGGTTACATTAAATGTATTGTTTGACAAATTCTACCGTATTCAACAGACGTGTGTTGTAAATATCGCGATTAGTCACTAGACAAGATTCCCATTCAATACAACAGGTACTTCTTGGGTTATCGTCTGGAAAGCGACCGTGACTAGGCGGCCTTAGGCCCTATGGTATTTTTATTCCCTTAAAGTTGAATTTAATGAAGGTTTTATTTTACACGATGACCACACTCTATGTGGTTGTTGCAGTGTTGCACTAACTTAATTGTTCGACAGTTGCTTTTGGAAATTAAGAGGCATTTTCAAGACATCACAAGCAATTAAAAGATACAGTTTCAATTTAATGGACAATTTATTTATTAGGTAATTGTCCAAAAATATTTTCTTTCATAGAAAAATTCATAAAAAATAATGCAATCCCCCTCCCCCCCCCCCCCTTTGCTCTGACACCCCAAAACAAATTGTTGTTGGTATAATGTCCACCAGCACAAAATACGGACAGAGCCAGCTTAATAGGAGTTACTTGTACACCTTTTCTGTAATATAGTGGTAATAATCGTCGACTTTTAAACAGTGGCCCCATTGAAAGTTTGGTACCACCCCCCCCCCCCTCCCTTGAACAGTGCCCCCATTGGTCAAGTGTCCGGAGAACAAAAAAAATCTAGATTTCAGCATTTTTTTGTATGCAACCCCCCTGCAAAAATTCCTGGATCCGCCCCTGTTGAGGTACATTGATCTTTGCCCTTGAGCTAAATTTGAAAGCATTTTTAAGCAGCATGTGTATCAGAGATCCAGCTGCACATCAAGATTGGACATCACATCAGACGTTTATATGCACATGCAGCTTAAACTGTGTTCCAAGTGAACAAGAATATATGATAATGTAAACACTAAATAGTTTATTAACCTTTTTAAAAATATATTATTTCAGCCATGACAAAGTCTTGCAATTAAGAGTCCGTGATTAATAACTTAATCCGACTCCAACATCTGTGTCCTATTTCATTGCTCTCTGATGACAAAAATTAAAAGTCATCATTTAAATATATTAAAAAATTAACTTCACCACAATCAGTTTTCCTTTAGTAGTGAAAATCTACATACTGTTTTGTTAACAAATTTAATATTTCACTGAACTTATAAGGTATAAAAATTTAAATATAAGTAATATTTCACTTTCATCACATTGCTATAATATTTGTGCACATATTATGATTTCAATATTTTAAGGCATTCCAATGGAACGTTCAAGATTTGCCCGTACGTAAGCCCTGCCCATTCCACATATGGTTAAAAGCCATACAGCGCTCTATCAAATTACTGGAGCGCTAACTCGCTGTACAAAGCCTGCTGGGGGCATCCATGTTTATGCACAAACCTACATGGAAACTTGTAATTAAGTATGGCTGTAGTACAGCTATTTGCATATCTGCGTCCCTATTCTATACCGGATTGTTATTGCAGCCGATACGCCCAAACCGAAAAGCACAATAAGTAAATGAGCGTTTGATTTTGTTCTGCGTAATTAAACAAAGCAAACGCGCTGTGTGGGACTTGCATATGTTGCATGTACTTGCGCGTTGCATATAGAGTACAATTCAAAATTCATTCCATCTACTGTTATTAGGTTCTACAAACACACCGTGAATTCAAAATCATACAGCTTCAAAGTACAGGGTGAGTAAAAAAAAACGAACCCCAAATGTCGGGACCATTGTTTTCGTGAAGTTCCGCAGCTAGCACTTTCAAAACGAAAACAATTCACACACATCCCTACGTGATTCGTTTTCGTTTTGCTGAAAGAACACTTACCTTCTTGTGATTCGTGGACAGAACTTTAAAACAGTGGTTGTGTTAAAAATTTGGTAACTTGAAAAGTACATGAATAATTGGAATGATTCTTGTACTGAAAGAAAGCTTATGAATTACGCTTTCATATAGATTTTGAAAGTGCTACATGCAGAACTTCACTAAAACAATGGTACCGACATTTGGATTTTGCTTCTTTTTTACTCACCCGGTTTGAGAAGGTAGCGTTCAATAATTTTATAATAACTCTCTGGTACAAATGTGGATTTTCCAGCGGCCCATGTCTTGGCAAGTGCATGCAGCAGGATTTTTTTTTTTTTTTTTTGTCTTTTGGGCAGAGCATATAACAGATGGGTGTACTACAAAGTCGGTTCCATCAGGACAAATGGGAAGTTGTAGGATTCCGGTAGTCCGATATGGGAATCGTTGAATGCACTGGTCCATCGGAAGACCGGAATGCCGTGACTTGTGGTGGGACCACTGACGGCCATAGCTGAGAATGTCTTGGCCATCTCGAGATTGGTAATCTGCAGAACGGACAGTGTGATAAGGATGGCCAGTTAGTGGGGAACTACATCATAAGTAAGCAAGCCATGGGAATAGCAAGGTATAGGCATTGAAAGTTGGTACAAAAGTCATCTTGTTGATAGAAACCCCTGCCAGAGCAACATTGCAGTGTTTGCCATGGGACTAGCTGTAAAATAGAGGAATAAAAATTCAAATCCTGCCTAAACGGACCAAGACTAGTGCTGACAAAAAGTGCTCGACTACAATACTGGCTAATTAGATTTGCATTTCTCAATCAAAAACCAAAAAACAAACATGCTGCTGCCAATTACAGCCGCCTTTAGAAGTTGTGACGTCGTTTATAATCAGAGCATAAATTTGTCCAAAGCTCTTGATTGGTCAATAGCTGCCACGTTTTTCTCATACAACATCAGGTCACCAAAGACACAATAGAAGGCGCCCATGAATGGTCAGAATCTGGAGGTAAAAGACAGTGTTGTTTTGCATAACCTGCTCACATATCATAGATGCTTGCCGTGCAAGCGTTTATTCCATAGACTACCTAATGACAATGTCTAGAATCTTCATTATATAGGGATAACGCATGAGGTGCATTTAATTTAGCTGTCTAAAATTCTGTCAAAGGTCGAGGGGAGGCATTCTTCCACAGTAAATTTACCTTTAACAAACTGTGGTCAACCCTTAGCTATCTCAGGTGAATTGGTGACTGGTTTGAACTGGTTTAACTGGTTCTGACCTAATTAAGCCACTTATACTGGTATCAGTTCAAAACTAGGTAAAACCAGTCAAAACCAGTCACCAATTCCCAGTTGAACTGGCACCAGTTGATAAAACTAGTTGGAACTGGTTTCAACTGGAATTTACATAAATGGGCCTTACCTTGGTATCCGTGCAACCGCCTGCAAATGCATCCTTGGCTCTGAGATCGAAGCGGGAGCAGATGGACCAAGCAGGATCCTTGTTGGAGTACTTGTCATGAAGATAGTCTGTGACAAAGAGACAAAAAGAAAGAATGCCTTGGCTGCCACAAGATCCTGATTGCTTTGGGTCTTAAATTTTTTTCAGGCATGGATACACTGAGTGGAATTTGACGTCATGAATGGGAGAGAAGACAACTTGCATGTTGGCAGAGGTTTGGTTATACACTGAGTGGCTAAAGAGAGAAAGATTCCACAAGAAGTTTCAAGGACCTGTTGATGTATCAACTTGATATTTCAGTGCTCCATGGCCATCATGTCTTAGTCATTTCTCCTGAGCTGTACTCAGGTTAACTTTAACCAATGCAAAGGTCATTACTGATTTTATTTAGTTTATTTATTTTTTTTCAACAGCATCCAACAGCGCAATTAAGCGCCTGAACAGTATGGATAAGACTTGGTAGAAGATGTGGCAGGAAATCACAGTTTTAGTGGTGGGAGGAAAACCCCAGAATGATATGTCAGGGATCAAACCCACGGAATCAGGCAGGGACTGAAAACCAATCCACGCATTGGCCTAGGCGGGATTCGAACCCGGGTCACAGCGGTGGAAGGCGAGGAAAGCACCGCTAATCCTGACTCGATTATGATGGCTAGAAGACGGATGATAAATATGCCATGGCGTCTGCCAACAATTGATCCCGCTTGAAATGTTCCAGTTGACATTTAGAGATCCAAATACCAATTTCAAAGGAAACTGGCTTTTGCACAATCAAATGCAAAATTATACGCACCATATAGTTGCTTATAATTAAATGCCTACAAGACTATGCCAGTTTTTATTTAATAGACTTAAACTGAATCTGTCCAAACTGCCATCTATTGGAACAAAATGACGATTGAAAACTATATATCGTAATCAAGATTCCTATTTTAGCTGCAGGGACATACCGTTGTATCGCATGATGGCCATCATTGACTTCATATCAGTGACTGTGCTTTGGTCACGTCTGAAGATCTCTGCTCTCACATACAGCTGATAGGATTCCTCATTACCCCTTTTCTTCTTCATCATCGGGTAGCCACTCAGGTTGTAGATGGTCTCGTAGAAAGGGATGTTGTACGAGGGCCAGTATCCTGTTAAATCGCAAGATGTTAAAACAGATTTCTCATCAAGAGAACTGACATGTGCGTTATGAGCTCCTTGGGCAAGTTGTTCTGTGGTTTCAGATTTTGGCAACTATACATGTATCACCTCAGAGGGACTACTGCCGGCAGCTAGAGGGTGTGGCCAGAGCTAGGTATGCCTTGAATTGAGATTGGAAGTCTTGGGTTGTCTTGTGATGGTCTTGTGTTGGTCTTGTGTTGGTCTTGTGATGGTCTTGTGTTGGTCTTGTGTTGGTCTTGTGATGGTCTTGTGATGGTCTTGTATTGGTCTTGTGTTGGTCTGGTGATGGTCTTGGTCTTGTGATGGCCTTTTGTTAGTCTTGTGATGGTCTTGTGTTGGTCTTGTGTTGGTCTTGTGTTGGTCTTGTGTTGGTCTTGTGTCGGTCTTGTGATCGTCTTATGATAGTCTTGTGTTGGTCTTGTGTTGGCCTTGTGTTGGTCTTGTGATGGCCTTGTGTTGGTCTCGTGTTGGTCTCGTGTTGGTCTTGTGTTGGTCTTGTGTTGGTCGTATGTTGTCTTGTGATGGTCTTGTGTTGGTCGTGTGTTGGTCATGTGTTGGTCTTGTGTTGTTGGTCTTGCGTTGGTCTTGTGATGGTCTCGTGGTGGTCTTGTGTTGGTCTTGTGTTGGTCGTGAGTTGTCTTGTGATGGTCTTGTGTTGGTCGTGTGTTGGTCATGTGTTGGTCTTGTGTTGTTGGTCTTGCGTTGGTCTTGTGATGGTCTTGTGATTGTCTTGTGATGGTCTTGTGTTGGTCTTGTGATTGTCTTGTGATTGTCTTGTGTTGGTCTTGTGTCGGTTTTGTGAAGGTCTTGTGATGGTCTCAACTACACCACTGATCCAGACTTGACCAAGGAAAGTTACAGACCTGCTCTTAGTATGGCTGTCTGGTCCTCAGACATCACCAGTCCTGGGATCTGTTCCACCACAGTCAGCGTCCCATCCAGTAGCTCTCCTGATATGCGCTTCCTGTCAACAACCATGTACTGATTGTTGTAGGTGCCTGAAAAGTTTAGGTAATTTTTTAAATAGGTTATAATATATTGTGGTAGACTGCTAAAGAGCTAGAAAAGCCATTCTAATTAAAAAGGTCCCATGCAGTCATGTAATTCACTTAACACCTGTACAACATCACTTTGCAATTCCTCTCTGATGAATCAATAAAAACTGTTCATGCTGGAACATTCGCTGGAACCCCTGCCCTGCAAACAGGGCGCTGGTAAGGGCTGATGAGCTTCACAGAATCTTGTGAAGGAAGTACAGATTGACCTTCGCATGCAGCTAGCGCGCGCTACGCATGATGGGCACCGGAAGCTAGTTTGTGTGACGCGTTCTAAGTCACAGGTCACGCAATCATCCAATGAGAGCTCAAATGACGTCAGCCCTGACCAGTGTCCTGTTTGCAGGGCGGGGGTACGAGCGAAGCCCAGCACTAGCTGCTTTCTCACCTAGGCATTGGATCATTTGCATGTGCAAAATAATTGCACATGTATGCAAATGAGGAATAGTCTGGTGCCTGCCTGTACGTTTTACATTAGCGTTTGTTTTTGTACCGCGGTGTCTGGGGTAAAAACACAATCAATTCATCGCGCAGTGAGGTACGAAAACACGATTGTTTTCGAAGTTAAAATGTTACAATTTTATCCCGCCAATATTCATATTAATATGAGCAAATTGGAAAAGAAAAGAGTATTTATGAGAAAGCGTGGACATTATAATTACAATGATCGTGAAAACACGTAATGCACGTTGGAAATAACAAAACCAACTTCACGATATAAATCCATTACTAACCAATATAGAATCAGGATACAGGAAGAAAGTTTCCTATCCAGGGCTTACTATTGGAAACGAGGTTGGAAATGAAGTAAGCACTGGGGACAAGGTTGTGCTGGAACAGTTTCGGGCAATATTGCAGACGGTGTAGTATACAGGGCGAGTCAAAAAGAAAATTACCCCCCCCAAAAAAAATTCTTAAAAAACAATCAAATATGAAAGTATTAAATAGCGTGTTCTTGCACTCATCTAAAAAAAAAAAAATTACTCAAAATTGATCCATGCTATCAGAAGTTATGCACGTTTTACTAAAAGAATCAATTTGTTACTTAGCCGTCTTTTATAAAATTACAGATTACACACAAGCATTCTAATACAAATGAGATGTTAATCATTTAAATGAAGACTGAAACTAGTTTTACTGTCAGATTTTGTGTTTCGAATATGAGGAACATGTCATCTATTTTTCATATAATGGCATTTTGATGTGTTTTCCTTTGCAAGTTTCCCCCATTCATCCAGTTGGGAAAAAATCCGTGTTTCACTGTATTTAATGGGTATAATTATGGCTGAATTTGCGATCTTTATATTAAAATACAATTAACTCTGGGCTACACATGATGTACACATAACGTGTCCCCATGTTAAGACTTCATCAAGACGTATATGCCATTTCTGTCTTTAGAAAAGTTATAAGGAAATCAAATTGAAAACCATTAAACAAAGTTACAAATAAGAGAACTCGCCAAGGACTGACAAATATCCATCCTATTAACGATTCATCTACAAGTAAGGTCACAAGTCTACCACAAGTCAATCAAAAGGTGCGTTTGATTAGCTCACACGGGTGGACTCGGGTTAGCCCCGTGCCGTTCGATTAGCTCTGACGTCATTCTCAGGTTCAACCGGGTCAGCCACCACAGACCCTGCTCGTGGAGCAGAGTCAGTGGTGGAAATATGTCACACCCATGTATTGTTCATTCCACGAAATGGACAAATATGCCGGTGGGACAGTGGAAAAGATCAAGTGTATTGGAAGTCTAAATATAATAAGTTATTTATCCCATTGCGACTTTAAAGGCCATAATACCAGCCTGACGGTGTTACTTTTTGCGACTGATGGAAAAGCAGTAGATTTCAAATAAAAGACTCAGTGAATTTTGTCAATGGCAGCGGCCGCAGCTACAGCTAGACGTCACGTGAGGTGTCTGATTGCAGGCATTCATGCGTTCGTTTAGCCCGGCTCTCGTGGCTAACCCGTCTGCCTTTACCCGAGTCGATCCGGGTGAGCTACTCGAACGAACCCGAAGTGAAATTACAATGGCCAGTCAATTGCAAGTCAGGTCATTCTTTTTTGTTCCTTGACGAGCACCCGATTTCATCAAACTCTTCGTAACTTACGATGCATCGCAGCGACGCGACGCGACGTATCTCTACGATGCGTCACAGCTACGACGCGTCCTGCGATCCACTTCACAAAACACGTCGTAAGTGTGACGCGTCGTAGGTGTATTTACAGCACAACTCGGTGACTGTTTTATGTATTTAGTCAGCGTACAGTAAATAGTTGCTGATATTCAACAAAGAGTCGTCGGATCTCAGCTCGAAATTTGTTAAAATGTAAAACAAAATGGTGGCCGTGCGATGCAATTTTGAAGGAAAACAAGCTCTCAGTGGACTGTTTAGCTACTTTGAAATTTCAACTGCAATATTCCAGTCTAATTCATAATTATTCAATGAATTTTCTATTTACAACTTTACACACATTGCCTCGGTATTATAATATCGTTTTTGTCATGTTTATGACATTAAACTGGCTAAGAAAGAGAATCTTCTTATTTTGCAATGACCACTAGACATGTCGTAACTTGCGACGTGTTTTAAGCCGTAGTCAAGGAACTTACGACGCGTTCAACACATCGCAACTTTCGTGAAATGGAAGATACGACGCGCCGCGAGCTGCGACGTGTTACACGTCGTAACTTGAGTTGCGACGCGTCGCAGCGCTTCATGAAATCAGGTACTGGGGTGCTGGCCATTTACTTGTGATGATCGAGTTGCTGTAACTTGTGACCTATATCAATTGCAACACGCCCCTACTGACTATAACCAATTCACCCACCTGAGTTGTACTTGGCCACAATTTTGCCCCACTCTGCCCCGCTGTTTGCCATCAGGTTGGCCACCCGGACCCGTTGCCATGCCAACAGAGATTCTGGCTTCACCATCTTGTACAGGGTTTGGTTGTAGATGTCATTTGTTGTCTGCAGCATCAGCATGTCGCTTCCAAGGATGTAGAAGTCATCCAAGGACTCCAACATACCTGGGAGTTTCAACAACATAAATGTGATTTTCTTTTTGCCTGACTGACGGTTATCTTTTTGAAGTTTGTAGTTACATCAAACTTTCTCTATAAACAGGTGATAAGGCCCTTTGTTCAACTTCACTCAATTAAACAGCACAGTCTTTTTGGGCGTATGGCTTAAGCCTACCAGTTGCAAACTTAGGCGACAGGAATAGAGATAACAATAATTCCAGATTCTTTACCTTGCCTTTTATTCGCACTTTTCAAAAGACAGAAAGTGCATTGATTAACCAAAGAGTTGTGAGTGCCATTCACTAGACGTCATTGTAAGGCTACGGAGTACCCTCTTCTCATATAGAGTAATTCGATGCATATAGCCCAAAGATTATAGGCTGTCAACTTAAGGTTAAAGTTTTGACATAATTACAAGATAACACCTTTGTAATATCTTTATAAAACACAAAACAACCCATGATTTCACAACCAAGTCAAAACCATAATCATATGTCAACTTTTATAACCTGAAAATGAATAAAACTGCTGCAAACTGCTCACTGACAGAATCGACCAGCAATATACAAATCAAAAAAGTCAGAGGGCGTGACGTTTTGGTCCCAGCAAAAGTCGCACTAGGACTGAAAACTTAGGCCCAGTTTTTTTTGTAACTGTACAACCCTTTAAAAGTTTATGTCACTGATGTAGCACTAAACCGCCCAACCTATTACTCACTGTAATGCCTGAAACCAACGGCAAGCACTTTATGGTTTCTATAGATTTTTCAGTTGAAAAACTTCAGCTCGGTCCATTAACAGCAGTCATCCCCCCAACGCGGTCATTATCATGCACTGAGTACCGGGTCTTCACACTGTTATTCCCATCAATAAATACATTATTAACGGGGGAAAAAAAACAATTAAAATGCTCCGAATTTTGTGACTTTTCTTTCGCCGATATTTCCAGACTTTTTATGTTCAGGGCCATATTTTGGCTTATGCATGGAACTCTGTATAGTTTCTTCAATATGCGTTGTTCTGATCACCCTAGCCCAGGTTGGACGACATCTTCATTGCATTACGAAGATTGATCCCCATTATACAAAGGAGATCATTTATTACAATTGGCGTCCAGCGTATGAACTTCTGCCAATTTTTTTGTCATACTTTTACCCGGCCGAGGAAGCTGAAATTTCATTTACATATTCCTTGTGTCCAGAATTACAAAGGTGCTCGGTTTAGACTAGGCAGGTCTGTTAAGGCGACGTTTTTGCAGAAAGTAAATCGCAGATCCTAGTCGTAAACATCCTCAGTCGTGTGAACACTTACATGTAAGTGTGCGTATGCATGCCCCCCATAGCAAATGTGTTGCATACGCGCATGTATGAGTCTGCGCACGATGGTAGTTGAGCCAGTTTGTACTGCTGTATTGTTACAAGCTACCGTAGGACTGTTGTATATTTGGCCAATCATTGGCTTACATGATGCTGGATCAATGCTGGTTCTGGGGCCATTTATTTGCTTGTTCCTGAAGTCGGTCTGTGTATCACGTTGAAATACACCCCCATGTGATCGAGTCTCGACCAATCAGAAGCTATCAACTCTCCAATGTCCAAGGTATTTATTAATACAATCTAGTACAGATGCTAATAGGATAACTTCTGACTGGCATTTTGATCTCCCCTACTAGGTACCTGGGTAACTTGAAAAGGACATTGCCTTGGCTGCAGCTCCCTGGAACATCAAGTCAAAGTTGTAGTGCTTGTAGATGCGCAGCATGCTGTTGTAATCAAACCATGTTGAGTGCGACATGAAGATATCCTCAAACCCAGGGAGTGCCTATATATGCAGCAACAATTAAGAGGCCAATTTTTTAGGAACAGTTAAAAACAGAAGAGAACAATTGCTAAAAAATATCTTAGCAAAAACCGGCGACAAGCCAATAAATATTATAGTATTTAGTTGCTTGTGGCTTGATTTCCTTTGACTTTTTCATGCTTAGTATTAAAAAAAGTGGCATGGCAATATTTTCAACAGCTCCATGAAATTGAATCAGGAAACTTAATTAATTGCAGGATCAGACATTTCTCATCAAGATACAGGGCGAGTAAAAAAAGAACAAACCCAAATGTTCGGACCATTGTTTTAGTAAAGTACAGCATGTTTCACTTTAAAAATCCAGGATATGAAAGTCCAATTCATAAGCCTTCATAATCATTCAAATCACTCATGTACTTTTCAAGTTACAGAATTTTAAACACAACCACCGTTTTAAGGTTCTGTCCACAGATCACAAAACAGTTCAGTGTTCTTTCAGCAAATCAAAAACAAATCACATAGGGATGTGTGTGAATTGTTTTTTTGTTTTGCTAAAAGAATGCACACCTTTTTTTGTGATCCGTGGACAGAACTTTAAAACAGTTGTTGTGTTTAAAATTCTGTTAACTCAAAAAGTACATGAGTGATTTGAACGATTCTTGTGCTAAAAGAAAGCTTATGAATTGGGCTTTCACATCCTAGATTTTGAAAGTGCTACATGAAAAACTTCAATAAAACAATTGTCCCGTCATTACTCGATTATTCGATATTATTTTGATATTGATATTGTCGGTAGCAATTTTAATCATAGCGAAATATTGAAATTTCGATGTTGAGGAATGTTGTCGAAAATAAAGAAAATGCGTCAGATTATCGTCAGAATAAATTTCCAGAATAAAATTACTGTATAATAAAATAAAAAGTTGGCGGCAACTTGTGCTTGTGACTCAAAATAAAAACATTGCGAAATGTCAAGCGGCGTCGCTTTGTGCTCTGCGTTCGCTGGAATTCGTGGTCTCCCCAATGTAAAACCTAAAAAGAAACCGACCGTTCTGGACAAACTCTCAGTGCTAAGATTTGATTTAAAAAGTTTAAGAGTAATATGCTCCAGAGAAAGCCGTGGAAAATTGGGACTTAACATTGTTTGGGGGGGTGTTTTTTAAACAAAGTGTCATCTTTATGGTCTTCCTGGGATAACTGATATGAGTGTGAATGGACTTGGGCCAGAAAGCATGCATTGTAAGAAGTGTGATTGATGGATTTTGGCAGACTTGGTCCAGGACTTAGTAAAAGACAGTAGGGAGTTAAGGTTCATGCTTCTGAAACCCACCCATATAAACCAGACATGTTACTGATAAGCTCAATTAAAGACAAAAACGTTTGGAAAACGGCAAACATTGTAACAAAATCACACAACCAGATACTACCCAACCCCCAAAAATAGACACTGGCAATTCCACTTTCTTTTCAAAATAGAAATGAAGATAGGGTGGAGTTTTCGCAAGTGCGAAAACAATGAATTATGCATTGCTAAATTTTGCACACAGACTTAACTTATGCAGGGTTGTCCAAACTAACAGAATGGCATACTTCCACTACTCGGAGACTCAAACCACATATACCAATGCATGGAGAATCTTTTTAGAAGAAAAATGAAACCAAGATCGCCCAATTCGGTCCGGCAGTTTTTGTTCTAGAGCCTATTTGAAGCAAGCTGGGGGTCATTTTTGTCCCAATGAATTACTAAAACCGCGCCTGGGGATTTGACTTGCATTGTAATTGATAGAGGGATTGTTAAATGTTAATAATACCCACATAAAAGAAGTGTGCTCAGTTCACAAAATAGGCTCTGCAACAAAAACCACTGGACTGAATCAGGAGATTTTGGTATCATAATTCTCAAGTTCTAAAAGGATTCTCCATCAATTGGTACAGGTGGATTGAGTCTCAAGGTAGTGGAAGTACGCTGTTCCGTTTTTGGTTTGTTTTTTTTTTACCACCGTGTATAATGTACTTGATGTTCAAGCTTGATACATATTGAAATATTTTAAATAAAGCAGTTACTGTTTTGTTTATAGAAGAGCCACCATTGCTCGATCACTCGATCTATTTACATTCATGTAGCTGATAGATCTTGTTTGAGAAATACAATTCCAACCGAATAAAATCCAGCAGTATTTTTTTGGAGTGGGTGGGGCAGGTCTTGAGAAATAGCTTTGTCAACAGAAGTCATGTTTAGTCCTTGATGTTCAGTGGGCGACCACATTTCAGGACATTCCATGTACTTGAATGCTGTTTGGGGAACATTTATAGGGTAGACTATGTTTTTACGACGTAACCCACAGGGAAACTTATTTAATTCCATTTTCAAATTGTGAAAAAGAAAAACAAGATTGTGTGGGATTAAGGCACCGCACCTGGGCCATAAATAAATGGGAAATTGCAAGCCTTGCGGAAGAGTCGAAAAACCTAATGCACAAAGACTCTAGCTACGTATATAGGTCTCCACGGGTTTCATGGAAATTGGGAGAAATCACTTTGGCGGGGTAATCTTGAGGTCTCTTGAGATTTATTTGAAAGTTGACGTCACATAAGACCACATTTGGTTTGACACTGGACAAGATCTAGGTTGCTTGAGGTTGTTCGCCTTTTCCTACTTTCATGTTTACTTCAAAGACCCCCCCCCCCCAAATTGCTTGTACAGTGTAGTATGATTTTCAAAAAATAGACAATTTCCAAGGATCTCAAATGGGGTCATTATGCAATAAAATTACAATATTAACCTAAAATTTGATAAGTAATTTGAGAGTGCATGGAGGAATTTCTTAACAGGGACGTTGCTCACAAAGGATCCAGATAGATGCATACAGTAAAATGCATTACTTCTGATTCAGTATCCTTATTGTACATGTACATGTGGCAGAAATAGACCCAAAAAGGAAGTCTTTAGAAATCTATCTGCCCCATAAAGAAAATGCTATTGAGTTTGATTTTTCAATAGGAACAAAACAGAACAAAAGAAGGGTCGTAGGTTTGAGTCCCACCCGAGTGATTTTCTATCTGCCAACTTCTACTCAGGAGGTAACGCATCACTGAGTATACAGTGTTTATACCAGTATGTCAGTGACAGGCAAAACCTAATATTGATAACATCAACCCGATGCAAATTCCATATCAACAGTAATATATATATTTCAAAACTCTTCACAGGAACTTATGAAACATCTGATAAACATTAGAATGTAACTTTTGAAACAATTTAAACATATCAGTACGTTTAACAATATAGTAACATTTGTTTAATACTTATACATTCAAAGAGCTTTAAAATGAAGTAAGACTTGGCTTTGTAGGTGCTATACTATACATGGAGATTCAAGTGCTTAAAGTTGAGGGATCATGCTAAGTTAGTCCAAAGTTTGTTGACCCGTATCTCAAACTAACGCCGAGCTAAATAACAAAACAAAAGTCAGTTCTGTGGGTTTCTCATACAGGCCCATCATGACACCAAAAAAACCTGTTTCAATCTGTGAGGGCCAAGTGAAAAATGGTGTTGAATTTGACACAGAATGACCCGGCAAAGTTGATAACATTTTATTTTTTTTGAAACCTTACATGCTAGTCAATACATGGCATGAGAATAAGAAGATAATAACTCAAAGGGACTAGCCAAATTGTTTGTGTCATGTCAAAACAGTCTCCGGTTTCATGACTGCGTGACTGCAAACAACATTTTGAGTTCAATGAACTGATGGAGAATGTAGCCACAACCTTGAAGTCTGGAGTGGTTAAGGTTTCCAACAAAAATTTGACAAAATTTATTGCATTCGTTGTGTTCAATTTATTTCCGACTCCGTCAAGTAGCTAGGACACATGTTTGAACCAGCTTGGCAGTGTACTGAGCCAGGGTTCTCAACATAAGGGCGCAACTGTTGGGGGGGCTGGATGTTACAGTGGGACAGTGGGGGGGGGGGGGGGGGGGGGGGGGCATTAACCGTGGTCACTTATAGGACTAAAAGGGTTCGGGGGGGGGAGGGGGCCTTGGCTATGCTGCTGGTTTGAAGTTTGAACAGGTTGTTTTTGCAATTCAACTCATTTTAGTGAAATTCAGTTTCTTTGGGGAAGAATATTTATTGATATCGAGCCAGCATTTTTCTACTAGCTGCGGGACAGCAGCTCAACAAATCATCATGTCTCTCCATTAGTTCTTTAATTAGTTAGTAACAAACGTTGACATTGTCTATTGCTCCTACATATGAAAACCGATTTCAACCAAACTTTGTCAAAAGTATCAGTAGTCCAGCCCCACCCCAACCTTAGTTTTTTTACTCAAAACGCTACTCCTTCCAGAAATTACACAGCACAATCTTGTGACTCGTGCGTGAACACAAACTCGTAGACCCGCAGCTTCCGAGATATTTCCGATCGAGCTTATTTAGTAAATGGAGGCGATAAGGTCTACATAATGTGCACAGTACAACAATTTTTAAGCAACATTGTTGTACAATGTAGGAATAAAGTATGTAAATGCAAAGTTGGAAAATTATTTGTGTGAAATCTTGCAATTCCACATAGACCTATAAGATGCGAAACTTCCATCCAGCAGTCGAGTACCCGACTGCTGGAAGTCTGGAACCGGTTCCAGTTTTACAGATCAGGCACCCGTAGCCAACTTTACAAAGTACTTAGAAACTTCTCAGACAATGAAAAAGAAAGGTTTTGAATGTCAGAATGTTCAGAGTGAAAACCAGGCTACATGGAAAAACAAAACAGATGTCACGTTTATGACCCTCATGAAATTCGCAGTTTTCACCATATTATTAGCTATAAAGCTCACAGACTGTACGCACATAAATTGTTGAATTGACGCACCCAGGCCATGTGGCAGTATTATTGCGTGGTCCATGAACAATCTCACCTGTAACTTCCGAGATTTTGAATTTTGGGGTTGGGTTTGTTTGGCGGGTACCCGGGTACCTGTGGTTTTTTTTTATCAGGTACCCGGTTCCCGTAATACCCGTAAATGCACACCCGTAATGTAACGTTAACCGTCCAATTCTGGTCAACCTACCTTGATAAGGACCGAGCAATGCCCACTCATTCTGAAAAAGTTCCTCAGTTCGTCGGGCGTAGCCTTCTCGATGTCTGGGAAACTTGTGCCATTCAGGACATACTGCAGATCTAGGATGTCACCCATGCCATTCAGAAACAGCATTGCAGACAAATCCAATGTTGGCAGCGTCTGGGAACGGTAACGATTTAAGTCTGGGAAAACAGGCTAAACTCAAAGTTCTTGGAAAATAAAACCAAACCAAATTCTTTTTAAAAAAACGCTGAAGCACAGTTCTATGATAAAGTACTGGAAACACTCTAAAGTGCGTTTGATAAGATTTGAAAAACAGAGACAGCGAAACATTGGTCATCATGTTAATTAAAAAAACAGTAACATGAGAAATTACTCTGGCAAATTTTTGAAAAATATCTGGCAAAGCTGAAAGTATATAGAGCCAAGTTTGGTGACTGAGCTGCCAAGTGGGTGGCTATACTAGTGCGTAAAGCACCAATGTGGCCCAGGTTCGATTACGGGCTCGGACCATATGTGAGGAGAGTTGTTCGTTGATTCTCTCCTGTGCCATGAGTTTTTTTCTCTGAGCTCTCTGGTTTTCTTCCCCCCGCAAAAATCAAAAATTTGATCTCCGGCTGTGCTCCGTGGTCAGACATGGGTCGTATGGTGGCAGCCTAAGGCACCTTTGTATACCTTCAGCTCGACCACGATCTAGATGGGTTTGGGCGGGTCTTCCTGACGTACGGGAGTCTGTGTGGTTTTCCCCGCCAGTGTTTTGACTAGCCAGAGTGAATGTCCCAGGCCTTCATGCGACTGAATTCCCATGTAGCCGATTCTCGGCTCTTGGTTTTGTGCACAGAGAGTAGGTAATCTAATCTAGAACATTCTTTTGGAGCCGGAACCAAGCATAAGTGGGTGCCCGGCTCTTGAAAAGATTGGACTCGCGGTTGCGGTTCCCATATTATAGGTTTTCCTGGCTATTTTAAAACATTTTTCCTTCGAATTCACCAATTCATATTTTCAGTTTCGTCCAGCAACATCGATTTAGTGCACTTTCAATGTTTAATTTCGTCTTTTATCAGACAATTTCAAATTTAGTCCAAACAAATTCAAACAATCAGCACACGTTTTCGACCCGGTGTATTCGACTTCGTCTCGTCAACGCCGAATCGTGTTATTCAGAAATCAAATTCGTCTAATTGATCTATACACGACGAATTTGATCTCTGCCATGCTGCCATTCGGCAACAGCTTATACGAATTTGATCTGTAATGACAAATATTCTCGACCCGGGGACTAAAAAGGTGACCAAACTTTGAAATTGAATGGTAAATGACTAAATTGGTTTTGTTAAAAGCATGTGGAATTTTTTTCGGAGGAAATTGAATGTAAGAGTTGGTGAATCGGAATGAAAAATGTTTTAAAATAGCCGGGAAAACTTGTGGAACCGGTTAGCACTGAAGAACCGCCGGAACCTCGCAATTTACTAGTTGAAGCCGCATCCTTCGCAATTCCAGCTGCGAGTAAGGATGATTAGCCAGGCGCCGCCCCCCCCCCCCCTCCCAAATTATATTGATAATTACCTTACGTTGGCAAGATTTCAGGTTGTAGCCAATCAGTAGCCCATCCAACTGGGCAACCACTAGGGACACCCCTTGCCAGAATGGATCATCCGGATTCCCAGCGACCATCTTCCGCGTCCACTGATTCTGTTTCATGTAGAACTCGCTGAGCCTGGCTGCAAATTGGGGCTTCCCAGCCAAGAAGGACTGGAAGTTGTTGAGATAGGTTTGGTGTATTCGCCTGCAGCACATAGGAGTTATTATAGGAATTGGTTTGTAAAATTTTGAAGTTTATACAATGTACGTACGTTTTCTTGAAAAACAGTGGTACAGTCTGTTTTTAAAGCAAGTGGTACGGTAAATCTTTGTTACTTATATTGCAATGAAAAGCATTTTCATTGAAACAAATTTTTTTTTTTTTAATATTCATACACAGGGTTACATTTTGTAAATTGTACTTTCATGTTTCACTATTTATCACGTTTACATTAAGTGAAAAGCAATATTTGAATAAACCCCATTTCACTGTCTTTTGAGTTCTGACCCATATTGAACACATGAGAAGAACAAACTTTTTTCAAGCAGTACATATATTTGATAATCGTATCTTTTCCGGATGACATTTGGGCAATGTGTGATCACCTTTGACATATTTTAACCCGAAGCAGATTTAATCTATCACAGCAACCATCTATAGGCTCCGTTCACAATTAAAGATATAGTCCATCATTTGTAATTTGTGCATTTTGTTCGTTTGAAGCAACAAAAGTGCTCAAAATCTAATGAAGGATACTGAACATCTAACCTGATGAAGTTTCAGCTCAGCTTCAGCTGTATATTCCGAGAAAAACAGCATTCTAGGATCTCAATTTCAAATCACAAGTTTAAATTTTCCTACAGTGCGTCTCAAGACGCACCGTTGGAAAGGCCTTCTTTCGGTGATTACTTCAAAATGACAGCTTGCCAGAAAGAATAATTTCACAGGGAGTTTAGTCCCCTTACTATCTTTCAACCAGTATGTTTTTCAACAATAATTACGCCAGTTACTTTTCGGATGGCTGCAAATGATGGACTATAGCTTTAAGTACCCCTTCAACGGCCAGAAAAGGAGAGTTGGGGATGACCTAGACTGGTTTCCGGTCCAACCACTGCGTATTTTGAATGTATAATCCAAAGTTATTGGGGGTGGGGGTCAGACTGCAAGAGGCTATCTATCGCAAGTTGAATTTGAACGTATTCAAGCGGCGATGACACCTGACGCTCACGCGCGAAGACGCTACGGCGTGGCTTTGTGCACATTCAGGATAAACAAGTCGTGCGTAGTTCGCACACGAACCAGTCCCTTACACACACGCGGTGTCCTTTCCAATGGACTCTCAAAAATTATATAAACGCTCCCTCTTTTGTTGGCGCACGGGGCCCATAGCCATCACAAGTACCCATTTACTCCTGGGTTGGGAGAAGCAATGAGTTGCAAAGTGCCTTGCCTAAGGGCACACACACACCATACCCCAGGCTGCGAATGTTTTTTCTCCCAAACGACATCCGCATTTGGGTGTACGCTATGGCATTTTGGATTTTACTTTTCTAAAAACACGAGAAGAAAATATAAACTTAGAAACAACAAATTATTTCAAACGTTATGAAATTCGGACTTTATTTCCCTTTTAAAAAAAATCCTCTGAAGCCTCAGGTAGGCCATCAGCCTGGGGGTTTGGACAGTATCAAATCAGGGCATAAATGATTACAGTGCGCATGCCCAAGGTATACCACCCCTAGAGTGGTAACAAGTATTTTGATGGACAATTTGAAAAAAAGGGTGATAACACCCAAAAAGCTGCCACTGCTGCAATGCTATCACATATTTTCCAACTCTGGAGGTGTATACCTTGCCAAAAATCGCTATGACGATTATTTCCCTCATTTGATACCGGTGGCCAACATTTCGGACCGAGGCTGATGGCCTACGGTTAGAAAAGAAAAAAATTAGGGTACAAAACCGAGATTTGAACCCGCAACCTCGCGGTGCAAAATCACGACCCTGTATCGACTGAGCTACCGCACTGCTCCCCAAAACGAAGGGATAATAAAAATCATATACCTGCGTACGTATCACAAAGGTAGCGTAGAGGGCGCTAACCATGTATGTGGATGTCGTTAGGGAAAAGAAAATTCGCCCCAAGGCTGGACTCGAACCCACAACCTGCATAATCCCGCAGACCATAAATTCAATGCTTCAGACCAGGAGGCCACTGTTTTGCGTCTGGAGAAACTTACTCGCCAGTTAGAATTCCCTCCATGACACCAGCAGCAGTCATTCGTACCAGGTCCTCTTCGTAACTCTTGGAGGGTCCGCTGAATTTGACGTCCAGTACCCCCCATCCTGTTGTATTGGTTGTGTCATTGAAGGTGCCATAGGCCAGGGATCCATCGCCTTTGTCCAACTGACCGCACTTGACGTAGTACTGGTTGTGTTCATAATCGTAGTATGCGGTTCCATTTGTAAATTCACCTGGCAAAAAGCAAGAAAAGCCTTAAAAAAATTTTTAAATATTAATAAAAAATACAAAGGATCGAAGCGGCCAGGAAAAAAGAAAGCAGGTGGGGATGAGTAACGTTTTTTTTTTACTTGCCAGGGCTTATGCTTCGGCGTCGCCAGGAATTGTTTTAAAAAATAAGCCCCTTTTTTCCCAAAAATCCTTACAAGTACTTTCTCTAGCATATTCTCAATTTATAATTTTTCGAGGGTTGGCAGGGGGACATTTGCCCACCCTACCCCCATTGACACTCCTGTGGAAGTGTGGATGCCCGTTTTTTTTAAATGTGTACTAAATTAAAAGCAACATGACTTCACACCTCTTGTCCTTTTCTTTTCTTTTTTCCCTCTTTTTTTGGGGGGGGGGGGCTGGGGGGGGGGCACCCCCTTGCCCTTCCCCTCCTTGCAGCGCCAATGGGCTAGGGCTTTTATCTGTTTTGAATTTCCTATTTATTCTTGATTAATAAATACCTTGGAGAGTTGATGGTTTCTGATTGGTCGAAACTCGATCATGTGGCCGGGCATTAACGGTGATAAAGACCTGCTTCAAAGAACAAGCGAAAAAATGGCCCCTGAACCAGAATTGATCCAGCCCCATGGAAGGCAATGATTGGCCAAATTTACAACAGTCATACCGCAGCTTGTAACAATACAGCACTGCACATATGCTCAACCACCTTCGCGTGAGACTGACGCGCACGTACGCAACGCAGTTGCTATGGGTGCGCGCGCGCGTAAGGAAGTTTTAAAACGACTATACTGAGGATGTTTACTGAGGATGTTTACGACGAAAGCGTAGATCTACGATTTATTTTCTTTTTAAAAACACTTCGCCCAACGACATATTTACCTTTCCTAAACCAAGCATCTTTGTAATTCTGGACACAAGGAGTGTGTAAACGAAATTTCAGCTTCCTCCATCAGGTAAAAATATGAAAACATTGTTGTAATTTGTTTCGCTACGGCAGCAGAAGTCCAAACCCTGGACGTCGTACGCGTACGCAATGAAGACGTTGTCCAGCAATGTCCAGCACAGCCTGGGCCCGGCTGTGGTGTATATAACAACGCTTATCGAAGAGACAGGGTACCACGCATAAGTTAAAATATGGCCCATGAACATGAACACACAAAAAGTCTGGAAATATCGCAAAAGAAAGTCACAAAATTGGAGCATTTTAATTGTTTATTTCGTTAAAAAGGTATTTATTAATGGGAATAACAGTGTGAGGATCTGGTCTTCACTGCGTGATAATGACCGGGTTTGATGGGGGTGACCGCTGTTAATGGACCGAGACGAATAACAGCGGTCACCCCCAAGCCCGGTCATTATCACGCAGTGAAGACCGGCTCCTCACACTGTTATTCCCTTATTATTGTATCAAAGTTAACAAGTGAAAGCATGGATAATAGCAAGGAAAATGACAGTGGAACCATGGAGGTAGGCAAATGTTCAGGGAATTATTTTTTAGATTGGTTCACCTAAAAAAAATTAATTGACGGGGCAGATTAATAATAATAATAAATAGTCAATCTTCAATTTTGATGTAGCTTGAGTAACTCCGACTGAACATTTATTTCCATGCTTCATGAAGAAAAAAAATGTATATATACAAAATAGAGAAAAGGGTTAAACACTGCAGTTAACAGCAGTTAGGGTGTAGAAGTGGAAGTTCACTCAGGCCTCAGGACAAAATACCGTACCGATGTGCAAACGGGCCTGACTAGTTCATGTAGTTGTAGTAGTGTGCATCCGCCCCTTTGGTCATGAGACAGGCACATGACATACCCACATGACTTGTCACATGAGCGTTGTACGTGAACACGACCATGAACAGCAAAAAGATTTTCCACATCATTCTGTTCATTTCACTGAGTTTTATGACAAAGCGCGAACGATATCAACACATATTCATCAGGCTGTGCTTACCTTGAGTAGAGGATAACAAGCATATCCCATAAACGAAGGCAAAAATGACCTGGGAAAGTGACATTTTACCAATTTTCGGAAGGACATCTCACTGTGCCAATGCACTCGTAATGCTTTAGCGTATAGCGTATAGCGGCTGATACCTGAGATCAGGGTGACCGTAAGGTCATGGCCAAATTCTGCTAAATGCAATTCAAAAATCTGTCAGATTCATCAAAAATATGCCGAATTCCATAGAATTACTCGAAATGCACTATAAACACTTAAAATCGCATGCAGTTGTTGTAGTATTGCCTTAATTTAGGTCAAATTACATTATAAACAATCTATAGTCACATAAAGCTGTTGTGAAATTGAGTATCAGGCAAAACGCGGTTGCGTCGGAAAGTACGCGGTTCCTGCAGCGAACCTTGAAAAGATTTCAGCTTTTTTTTTACAAATCAATGTACCATTTTTCTTCAAATTTGCTCTATTTTCTCTCAAATATCCATTTTTGCAGATTTCTGCCAGGAATTACAGTCAATTGACCGGTTCCGCAATTTGACCGGTTCCGCAATTTCGGAAAACTAGCTCTCGTTTTCGGAAAGACGAAAACGCCAAGGACTTAAACTTTGGTACCGATGGAAAGGTTATTCAATCTACTTTTCAAAAATGGTTTTAGTTTTAGGATACTCACTTACATTTAAAAATAAATCCCCTACGACCGTCACTTGCCGTTAACGATCTGCCGAAATGGAACGCGCACGGAAGCGTGATTTCATGTTTGTCGGCCTGCTACACGATTGTTCAGAGGAATTAAATCATGGCGATAGATGCAACTTGTTCGGAAATTATTCATTATTCTACCATACAAATATAAGATTTGAAGTCTTTGAATTTTTTTTTCTATACCCACCAGAGTAACTGCTGGTCGTTTGGCCGGTTCCGCAAACGCATTCATACTGCCTATACAATACACTGGCCATGGTGTGACTGTATTAACCGGTGCTGCTATTGACAAGTATTGTTGATGACGGCCCCCTAGCGCGGTGCACTTTATTTATTTTGGCATGATCTTTTTTGTTTTTACAACTTACAAAGACATTGAGAATTTCTATTAATCCTTGTTTAAAAATGTCGAATTTGATGATCATTTCTGGGTGTTCAGTGCAAAAAAATTGAAAACTAAATTGAAACAAAATGATTTTGTTGCTGTCCAGCTTCCGGACAGCACTGTAGGTTTTGGATAAAAAAAATTGGACTTCAAAATTTAAAATACAAAAATCTTTCTTAATACTTCCCATCACTAAACGTTTTTCCTTTGCTCTAAAAAAATTCACCCCATACTTGATGTTGAAGCGGTTGTGCCTCAGGGGTTTGGATTCATTTTAGAGTTACAACTCTCCACCATGGGCGTCGCGAGGGGGGGGGGGCAAGGGGGGGCACTTGCCCCCCCCCCCCCCCCCTGGAAAAGCAAAAAAAAAAAAAAAAAAAAAAAAAAAAAGGAAGGAAAAAAAAAGAAAAAAAAAGAAAAAGAGGCGCGAAGACAAAGTGGTGTAAATTTAATGAGTTGGGGGGGGGGGCAAAATGTCCCTGCCCCCTCTAAAACTGATAAATCGAGAATGTTTTGAGAAATACAAGCATTTTTTGGCAAAATTTTTTTTTGCCCCCTCTAGAAAAAATCCTGGCGACGCCCATGCTCTCCACATCCAGGGTGCATGAGTCAGCCCAGGCTAGGAGGTGAGGTTTGTGGGGAACAATTAAGAATAGTGCACAATAATATGGAAAATAAAACGCAGGTGTGTTTCTAACCCAAAGGACATTTCCATTAATTTAGTAAATTTAAAATTATCCTTTTTCGGTTGGTTCTAACCTTACTCTTTACCCTTTTAAACAAAAAGAAAAATAGGTCCACTAATATTTCATAATGAAGACCAGTCTCTCGTCAGTACAGAGACACAAATTTTGATTGTTTTCTTGGAGCACAAAATTTGTCAAATACTATAAACCATTTCTCATTTTTGTCTCAATTGGTCATAAACTAAATGATTTATATAAAATTTCTTTTTCATACAGACAATGCCAAAGACAAAGAAGAAGATTACGCCAGCCTCCTGATAGGCCATAAGAGGCCATCAGCACATCTTTTGCAGTTTTACCTGTGAAGGTCAAGAAGAAGTTGAATATTATAGTGAAAGTACATGTAGCTGTGTGTCTTCATCACCATTTCTTTGAATTAATTTATTATGTGATAAGTTTTGTTGTATAGTGCTAGCTTCTGGAGTGCTTAAATTATTTGTGTATAACAACTAAACAGACATGCAGGTGTCATAAAGGCAATAAATTTAAAGGCGTTACATACATTTTTATTAACCAGAACATGTGAAAGAGAAGTGAGGTGTTTGAAAAACTATGCTACTTTGCATGAACAACTCACATTCATCACCATTTATTTATATGACAGGTATATTTTTGGATTTAAAAGGGGTAGCTTCTTGAGTGCTTTAGTTTTGTGTAACATTTACACATGCAGGTATCACATGTCAATATATTGAAAGGGTTATCGGGATATACGTGATGAAAGTGTTGACATTTTCTTTTAAGAGCATCACCGAGCAGTAGATGAGGTTTGCTATTATACAGTTGCCCAAGCATGATACATGTACATAGTTAATATGTGCAACAACGTATGAGGAGTAACTGAACATTATAATTAGAAATTGCCATTGCTATGAAACAACCATAGGATTTATGACATTTTTAACAATTTGTTTTAATTTGTTTGTGAAATTTAATTTGAATGTGAAACAATATGTATGTGGCCTGTATGTATCTGGCCTGCTGAGGCCTGTTCCCCCTCCCCTCCCGGCCCCCAGGTTCCCCCTACTGGATGTTGGTGCACACAAAATTAAGCATATTGTGTTTTTACCCTGAACAAATTGAAACACTCCCCCCCCCCCCCACAAAAAAAAAAAGTAAAATGAAAAAAAGGAGGAGGGAATAAACAAAAGTAAATAAATAATAATAATTAAATAAACAAATAATATTAATAAACAGTGCTCCCCTGCAGACAATTCATCCAGCCATGCAGTCACTTCCTTAAAGGGAATATACAACATTTGCAAACATCGAAAAATAAAACTATCAAGTTTTTGCGAAATACCTTAACAGGATGTTGGTAAATGACAGTCTAAAGCATCCTGTAAAATTATGGCACCTGGTATACTGTCATTTTCAAGAAAAGTGGTATTTTTGTATCAATTTCCAACGCTGATCGGCCGATCAGCGTTGGAAACAACTGGCTTTTTTTCAAATACTGGCCCCAATTGACCATTGCACTTGTTTGCAATCGATTACAAACCTATAAACGGGTACGAGCCAGCTAGACTGGTTCCCTGACCTTACAATTCCCCCAATGTATGTAAACTGCTCTGTTTCTTCTTATATGGAGTCAGGGAACCAGACTACAGGAAAATGATCGCTTTTCTTGGTTTTTATAGCATTTTCGAACCCAAAACCTCCAAAAAGTTAGTGTAACTATATTTGCTTTATATTTCCAACCCCCCAATTCCACCCATTTCTGAAAATTACAGCAAAAGCAAATGATGTATATTCCCTTTAAGTGTCATAGGAATTAAAAATGATCCTGGAGAAAATTTTAATTCAAAATCATAAATAGCTGGTCTGTGCTTATGTGAGAAAAAAACAACCAACTGGAGCAATTCGGTACAAGGTTTGTGTCTGGTTCTATCCAACGTCAGAGTGTGTCTAAATAAAAATAAGACAACAAAAAAGAAAAATATTAGTGATTGCAAGATGATAGACAGCATGCACAAAAAGCAAGAAACTAAATCATTTAATTGGATTGAAGCAAGTCAAATAATTATAACGTAAAAAAAGATCCAACGAACCATAACATTTTTCATGGAGTTACATTTTGTAAATTTGGACGCATTATATGTGCAGACCTTGGCTCATGCACAGGGAAATATAATCCACATCTTTTCTTGGCTGGATTGGGGGCAAAAACGATCTAGATTTGGCCAGTAAACAAGGAATATTTTCAGTCCAGTCTCGCAGAGGGCGCCGTTTGCGAAACCGGAAAACATTTGCGGAACCGGTCAAAGCACCGACCTCTACAAAATGTCCTGGCAAATTTCTCTTTCAAACGATCGCAGAAAACTATTCATATCATGAAGTAGGTGAGTAATTTGCGCATATTTATAGATAGGTAGCTTCCTGTGAAAGCGCGTTTTTTCGCCACAAGACGCTTCAGACGATTTGCGATTGCGGAACCGGTCAAACGACTGTAATCTGCCGAAAAAAATCCATTCTGTCAAATTTCCTGTCATACTCGTTTCTTAACCAAAAAAAATGCTGTCAAAGTTAGCCGAAAATCGGCTAAAACGGTCAGCCTGCCTGAGATTACCAGCGCAATCTGGATACGGCAGGGAAGTATAGTTAGGTCAAGGAAAAGGTTTGACGTACATTTATAATGACCGAGTTCGGCAAGATAAAAACTGAGGGCGGGAAAATTTACGCAATATTCAAATGTATCCAGTCAGGTGCGGTAGTCTAGCTGAGGGCAAACTTTTTTTTTTCAAGGCATTTTTTTTTTGGGGGGGGGGGGGAGTCTAAACAAAGGCCCTGTAGAATAGCGCCTGAATTAACATGTCTACGTCTCTTAAATTGCTAAATTGCATGCATTCCTAGCCTTGTGCTATTTAAGAGTTTGGTCCCGAATAGACTCCTTTTGCAGTCTAAATTGCTATTATTTACAACCGTTTTTTTTGATACACGGTGTTTCACATAAATTTCTAAAATTGCGCCATAATAGTAGTTATAAACGTTCATAGGTGGAACTTAGCTAATGTTTGTTTTGATTAGTGACATATTAAGTACATTTAATACATTTGTATTTAAATTAATTCATGATGCTTCAAAGGCGTAGCCAGCTGTGGTGGGGGGTGGGGTGGAGGTAAGGGGGTATCCCCCCCCCCCATATCATTAAAAGACTGCCCTTTTCCATTCAAATGCCCTTTTTTCACCAGCGCTTAACCCCCCCCCCTCCCAATATTTGTAAAGAGTGCCTTTTTTCTTAACAAGTGCCCTTCCCCCCCCAAAAAAAGTGCCTTTTTTGCCCGAAAAAAGTGCCCTGTAAAAAAATTAATCATGCCCTTTTTTGTTCCATCGGCCGTTACGCGGGTGCCTTTTTTTAATGCCGCGCATTAAAAGCACCATAATTGTGCATTGTCGGTTTTGAACAGCGCCCCCGTCGACAGAGGGTACCAGCCCACCCCCCCCCACCCCCCACCCCACCTCTCTATTTGATTGTACGGAGGCCAACTGTCCAGAGAAAAAAAAGTGTCTACATTTCAGGACGGATACCCTTTTTTGCAGGTGCCCTTTTTAAGGAACTGTTAACGCACCTCACTATTTGATTTTACGGAGGCCAACTGTCCGGAGAAAAAAAGTGTCTACATTTCAGGACGGATGCCCTTTTTTTGCAAGTGCCTTTTTTAAGGAAATGTTAACCCGCCCTCCCCCAATAAAGTGACGCCACTGGAATTTTGTTTCCTTTTAATATACATGTAGTTTTATTACCATAGCCTTGCCGAGCAGATTTGAATTTCAAACTAAACCAACTAAGGTAAAAATATATATATATATATATATATATATATATATATATATATATATATATATATATATATATATATATATAACACACAAAAAGTTATGTGCTGACCAAGCATTCAGGGACCGGATGAGCCATCGCAATAAGCCCATGCCGACCCTTATAGGACTCTTCGGGGATCCCGGCCAATACACACTTCCTTCCCTATCCATCCATATAACCCCGGAGGGCCAGGCACCATGTAAAAGCAAAGAGCTAAGGGAGGAACAGGGCGGCACCCTAAGCCCTGATCCTCCGAGTGGACCACATGCCCTGAACCTGTACGAAGATGCACAACCTGGATTTCGCAGACAGTCCCAGCAGCAGCGCTTACCGATCAAGCTAAGGTACTGTTGGTACTTTAGCACGGGAAACGAAATATCTTATAGTCAATGACTGAACGCTTACGTTGAAAACCAAAAAGACACCAGCGGGATTCGAACGCGGGGCCCCGCTAATTGTGGACGACGAATCGTACCACTCGGCCGTTCGGGTTACCTTAGAAGAGCTTTCTTCCAAAATTTTTTGTCTAATATTCAATGAAACGCGTTGAGAAGATTACTGGGTGCATTTGCTTGGGCTCCATGGACGAAAACAAGTCGACATTTTTGAGGAATAATGAGCTCATTGCGTTTGATTTGTTTGAAGTTGTATACCGCAGCCTATGTGCAAAACAGCCGTGTGCTAGGCGGATCATGGCGTACAATGAATGCTGCAATTGTGTATTAAAAAAAAAGTGGATGCGTAGATATCTACTCTTTGTATCTGGACACATATAACTTCCCACTTCCGTCTTCAACTACTTCGACTTGATACGGATATCTTAAAAAGAAAAAATACTGATTTATTTTTTAAAGTAGTTTGCCAATGCCTCTATATCGCTTTTCTGCAAAATTTCAAATTCGGGCCTTAAATCTGATCGCTGTTCCCAACAGTCATTCAACAGCCGTAATCAAACATCATTTTTGTGAGAAATAAAGCTTGTAAAATAATATCGACAAGGCAAGCAACAGTAGTGAGTTCTCATCCTAAATTCTAAAAAAAATAAAAATACAGATTTAGGAAAAGTAAAAGAGCAGAAATAACTGGGTATAGGAAAGTATACTTTGTATACAAAGTAGCCAAAGCACCGTCAAGTACTCAAGTTAATTAAACATCAAGCTGAGTCATCTAATTTAGAATGAGAAACCATTTTTCCTCAACGCGAAACATTAATTGAGAAAATAACTAGGCCATAGTAAAATATGTAATTGGATAAGTTGGATTCTTATCAACAAAGAAGATATACAAGGCTACGTGAAGAGGATAGCTGGGGGCGAGTCTTCTTGTTTTGCGTGGGGCCTCCCATATTCCTTGGGCCAAAGACCCCCCCCCCCAGCTTAATCAATTTATGACTCGGAGAAAACACCGCCATTCAGGGAATATTCTACAAACTACCCCCCCCCCCCGAAAATATTTTTTTATTTTGGAAGTGCTATTTTTCTGGCGATACAAAAGTAATTTATGAATGAAACTGATCAGCCCACGTACTTTATTTATGGAACTTGGAAGAACTACTTCGCAATATTCGCAGCTCGATATAGCGATTTTGTTGGGAAGGGGAAGACCTTTCGCACGTGACATCACCTTCTAACATTCGCTGCTGCTCTTTCAAAAAAATTTTGACTTTTTTTCTTCTGAGGGGCTAAACACAAGGTAATTGGGGGGGGGGGGGGGGGGCTGAAGCCCCCTAGCGCTCCCCAAGCATGGGCGTCGCGAGGGGGGGGGGGGGGGGGGGGGGGCACTTGCCCCCCCCCCCCCCCCCCCCCCTGGAAAAGCAACAACAACAACAACAAAAAAAAAAGGAAGAAAAAGGAAGAAAAAAAAGAAAAGAAAAAGAGGCGCGAAGACAAAGTGGTGTAAATTTAATGAGTGGGGGGGGGGGGGAATGTCCCTGCCCCCCTCTAAAACTGATAAATCGAGAATGTGTTGAGAAATACAAGCCTTTTTTGGCAAAAGCCTTTTTTTGCCCCCCTCTAGAAAAAATCCTGGCGACGCCCATGTCCCCAAGTCACCTAGCCTTCCATTTAAGCTATAAAGGCTGAACAAAGAAACCTGTCACAAGCGAGAATTGAACCTGCTACCCCCACCCCCCCCCCCCTCCCACCCCCGTTGTACCGGCACCGCCGGTGGTCTCTGCATGAAACCAGCATGTGCCACACGCCACGACATCACATTGCTAGCAGTGCTGCCAACCTAACTGAGATGAATCACTCGGAGAGGTACAGTGCTTTTTGTCATG